GTGCTGGTCGGAGTGTTGCGGGTTCAGCTGGGCTGCCGCGAGGGAGTGGGGTGGGGCGGTAACGTACACGGCCCCACCCCCTGGCCGTGTACGTCACCGCCCCTCCCCTCCTCGCCTGGCTGAGCATGCAACTATACTATACTATACTATACTATCTTGTATAGTAGATGCAAGATTAAGTTACACTACTGCCCTTAAAATCTCTAAATTTGGCCGTGTACGTCACCGCCCCTCCCCTCCTCGCCTGGCTGAGCATGTTCCTATACTATACTATACTATACTATACTATCTTGTATAGTAGATGCAAGATTAAGTTACACTACTGCCCTTAAAATCTCTAAATTGTCAATGGTCATTCTGTTCTGAGTATAGAGAGCAATGCTGCAGAGAGCACTGGTGGCCTTAGACCCCTATTTTGATGGAGTTTTGCTGAGGTAAATGCTGCCTTCTGGTGGCCTGGCCCACTGATGAGGGTGAGGGAAGAGAAGGAGGGCAGTTGCCATGGCACCCAGTGTTACAGAAGGGCCCAGAGTTCCCAGCCACTGCTGTGGCAGTGGCCCCTTTAAATTGCTGCCAAAATGCTGTGGAGCATGCCTCAGGAAAGCTGCCTAACTCCAACCTGCCTCTTCTGCCCAAGGTCCTGCCCCTTCAAGGGGACCCAGAGCAGATATCTACTACCACCTTGCCCAGGGGCCCAACCAGGCTGTTGATTCTGCTGGAGGCAGAGACAGAAGCCTGCTTGGCTGCTGAGGTGATCACTTCTGTGACCTCCTGCTGGCTAGGTTGCTGGAGCAGCCATTTTCCAGAGCAACATCAGAATTCTGTGATTGCTGCTGCTCAAGTAGCTTCTTTTCAGGCAGCTTCTCTTCAGGGTTCTGCTGCTGCTGCTGTTCCTCAAGTGGCTTGTTCCTTGCAGGTGTCTTGTACCATCTTGTCTCTTGGAGATCCCCAATCCTAGCATAGCTGTAGCCTGTCAGCTATTGTGCTTATAGTCTGGTTTGTCATGTAGGCTCAGCCAATTAGCTTCCAGGGATTAGCATATGCTAATTTAGCCAAGCCCAGCCATGTGTGCCTGTACATGACAGGAAGTCCCATCTATTCCTATGGGCTACAGCAGTGGTTTCCAACCTTTTTAAGTACAAGATCACTTTTTGAATTTGTCAGTCCAGGACTTACCTCAAACCCAAATACCCCTGCCCTGCCCTTTCTCTGAGGCCCCGCTCTCCTCACTTTGTGAAGATGGGGTACTGGAGAGGGGGACAGGATGACATCAGCGCCACTCTGCCTCAGGGCAGTGTGGGGAGGGACAGCTGAGGTGCTGGCACTTGGTAGCCTCCTAGCCAAACCAGTTAGGTTCACATGTCAGAGGCTCCAAGATTTACCGGTAGACCCTGATCTACTGGTTGGTGACCACTGGGCTACAGTGCATCCTATGGGATTTTGCTGAGTCATTCCCTACTGAAAATGATGCAATATTGTTCCTCTATTTCTATTACATCATCCAGTAATGATGAAATATTGCATCATCCCTGTATATTCCTATGGGCTCCTGTTACATTCCTATGGAGTTTTTAGCTGATCTGTGTGTGACTCAGAGAACTGTCAGAATTAGAGTTTTTGCTTAATCATTTCCCACTGGAAGTGGAGTTTACCACTACGTCACAGGAAGTGTCACTGCCAATTCATTACAGGAAAAATAATTCTTATGTAACCCTATAGTTCTTTAGAAATAGAATCTTCCATAGGAAATGGAACCTTCCATTACATTATAAGTAATGGAGTGTTTAATTCCATCATCATTACTGGATTTTCTAAATTTAAACATGTTCATTTATTATTTAATTAAAGTTTTATTCTTAAATTGGATTATTAGCCTAAGCATTCCAATGGTTCCTCCTGACATTATCCCCTTTCCTACTGTGTCCATTAAGAGAGTTATAATTTTTCTGAATTTAAACTCCTTCCTGCGGTTTTTACCTCAAACCTTCATCTGAGGCAATTTGAACAACTGAGGCAAAATCTCTTTCTACAACCACCTGCAGGTGCAACATGGAGGGAAGGGAAGGAAGGGTTGTATGCCCCCCATGCCATGGTGGGGGAAACAGGCCAGAAGAGCCGTCTCATCCAGAGGCAACAGCCCTGGGCCATGTGTTTTGGTGGCCCTACAGGGCCCAAGGCAGCCTAGAGGACAACCTAAGGTGTCAGTGCCAGCCACCCAGTATCCTTCTGGGAGGCATCTCTTGGAGAAGGGGGATTGGAGGAAGTGGTCAAGTGGGGATGGAGCAGAAGCAAGGAGGTGGTGAGAAGATGTAGGGAGGAGGTGGACTTGGACTTTTCGACCACTGAGGTCTGGTTCCAGTCTCTTCTGTTGTCAGGTAATTCTCCATTAAAATTACTGTGAATGTCAGTGTGTTTGGCTGGTGGTATTGCACCCATTCCCTTGCTCCTGGGGGAGCACCCATACACATGGGCAGCGAGTTAAATGGGCTCGTGGTGCCCGTGCTCCAGCAATATTCAGAGTCGGGAGCCCTGCTCCAGCAATATTTGGAGCTAGGTCTCTCCTCTGGCCCTGCCTGGAGCAGGCCCCGGCACCCACCTGCCAGCCGGCCCCCATGCATCCTGCCCCCGGCCCCAGATAGTCCGCCCCAGAGCATCCCTGCCACCTGCTGGTAGGATGTGCTGCTGGCTGCTGCACGCCGTGCAACAGGTAAGCCGAGTGGGGAGATGCCCGGGCGTGACATGATGTCACGGCCCGGGACTTTAAAACTCCCTGGCAGG